AATTAAGGAGTACCTATATAAAAGAATACAAAGAATACACCAAAATTTTGCTTTTCTACTCGGTATAGGATACAAATAATCATGAAACAACTAATTGTGTTCCTTCTTCGACATAGGAAGAATCCAACACAGTTGTGTATCCTTCTTCCAACATCTGTCTACTAAACATACTAATCAAATACTTTGTCTCTTCAATCATCGGATGCATTGTATCTCCAACAACAAAAACATGGACCTGATTCTTCAGGTCGATCCAACTGCAACCCACTTCTTTGCTCACCCCGTTTGCTCTCATGAGTCCCCAAACCCGTTCAGCGTCTCTCTTCCGTCCTAAACCCGCGTAAATGGTTGCCAATTGCACATACGTTGATGATTCTCTTGATCCAAGGGCCATGAGCTTCTCTCCTGCATAAGCTCCTAGTTCACATTTTCCATAATTCTTGCACGCACTAAGTAGTATTCGCCACAAGCATAATCCGTGATCAATACTAGCTGATTCAATGAACTCTTTTGCCTCTTTGAGTTGTCCTGCACGGCTCAGCAGATCAACCATACACGCATAGTGGTCAACTTTTGGAACAAGTCCAAACAGATCAGACATCATATTGAAATAAGACCAGCCTCTCTCTACAAACCCTTTATGGCTACACGCTGATATAATGTTCACGAAAGTAACATCATCAGGTTCTGTTCCTTCTGCTAACATCTGCTCAAAAAGTTCTAAGGCTTCATCTCCTCGTCCGTTATGAGAAAAGCCTGAGATCATCGCATTCCAAGACACAACGTCTTTATTAGGAGTTCTTCTAAAGACAAGGTTCCCTTCTTCTAAACTCCCGCACTTTGAGTACATTGTCGAAAGTGCGCTTCCAATTGGAACTTCGAGCCCAAAACCGTGCTTGATTGTGTGGCCATGTACTTGCTTTCCTAGTTCCAAGGTAGCTAGAGAGGAGCAAGCTTTTAGAACACTTGCCATGGTTGGTTCGTTTGGAACAATACCTTCTGTTTTCATTCCACAGTACAGAATCAGAGCCTCTTCGTTATCTGAGTTTTGGACATACCCGCTAATAAGCGATGTCCAAAGAGCGACATCACGTTCTTGAAGACAATCAAATCCTTTCCTGGCGTCTGCTAGACATCCGGCTTTTGCATACATGTCAACCAGAGCTGTAGTCGCAAATAAATGTCTTTCAAATCCTAACTTTAACAAGTAAGAATGAAGTTGTTTCCCTTCTTCTATATAGCAAATGTCACTGCATGCATTAAGAACCCCAACAATCGTGTATTCGCTGGGCTTGACTCCAGCAGAGAACATTCTCGAGAAAAGCCTTACTGCCTCGAGTGATTCCCCATTCTGAGAATAACCAGTGACCATTGCTGACCATGTAATCGAATTTCTGTCACCAGACGAGTCAAACATCTTGCATGCCTCTGTCAAGTTCTCGCACTTTGAATACATTGTAACGAGTGCATTCTTAAGAGCTACAAACTGGAGCAACCCATTTTTAACCGTGATGCAATGGATTTGCCTGCCTAGGCCAACATATTCATTTGCAGCCAGGGAGCTAAGTACCGCAGTGAAGACATAGTCACTATCACTTTCTTCCTCTTTCTCTCTAAGAAACAAACTGAAAATTTTAATTGCCTCTTCAACACGTCCTCTTGTAGCATAACCAGAAACCATAGTAGACCACGTATGGGTATTTCTATTAGGCATCAAGGCAAACACCTTAAGTCCATCCTCGACCAAGCCTGCTTTACAGTACATGCCCAACATCGAAGTGTCGACGTAAATATCCCCAAAACTTGACATTTTGATCACAAGCGCATGAGCCTGTCTCCCAACTGTAGCACTTCCAAGACTTGACTCAGCCTTATAAACCCCGGCAAGGGTATAAGCGTTTGGCAGCATATTTTGCGCTCTCATCTCCTGAAACAGCTGCATAACAGTGCGGGAGCTGGATAGACCACCGTTCTGTGAGTATCCAGTGATGAGACTATTCCAGGACACCACATCCTTGCTGATTATGGCATTGAAGATAGAGTGAGCTTTAGGTAAGTGTCCGCATTTGGCATAGAGGTTGACCAGGCCGTTGGCATGGTGGGTGCCTGTCGATGTTCCAGTTCTGATGATCCGTGCATGAGCTGCACGTCCAGCCACAAGGTTCCTTTGCTGTGAATGATGTGTCAGTTGGCTTAATAACGTGGAACTCTGAGTCATCGGGCTGGGTTCCGTCGTTGGCTGGATTGCTTTAATTGGTATGTAACATTGTTTGCCCCTGCACAAAACGGTTATGAAAGTAGGGAATGCAACATTCAGACTATCTATCAGTTACTAAATGAATAGTTGAACTTGAGCTAAGAACAAAAAGGGTAAGCAATACTCACAAAGGCGATTTGTCTAGACCAGAGTGTTGTTCCAATTCCAATCCAGGTTTCTGTCTTATTGCTAAACCCTGACCATTGTGAATGAAAACAAATCTAAATGGTTGCTAAAAGATGATCAAATATCATAACAAAATCATGTATTTTATGTACCTCTCTGTACAACTCAGTGTAAAGGCCAATACTTCCAACTCCATAGATATTTTTCTCAATTTTCTTCTTTATAGCTGTCGATTACACAATGAGCAACTTTCAAAACCCAAATTACTTACAGAATGTGGCACAGAGTAAACGAAATTTACCCTTCATAGCGGGAGCTTTGATCATGGAATTGAACACCTTTTGGGCATCCTCAACATAACAAGATTCCCAGCGTTAGTGGTACAAATCCAACTGAACTCCAAATTTATAGAGGATTAGAAAGTTCGATTATGTGGTTGAAATTACTCATGGCCAATAGACAAACGAAATTGGTCAAGTAACTTGTTAGATTATGGACTTTTTTATTGTTTGTTATTTGGATGTTTAGAGAATTCGGATGTGCAGGAAGCACATCTTCTCTTTGTTTTTCTCATGCTTTAATTCGATAATCGTTTCCTTGTTCTGGTTATTGCAGGAAGCTCATAACCCGAAGTAAAGAGGACAAAGATCAACACGTTATCTCATAAAATAATGTGCAGAACCTTATCTTGTGACTCACATTCAAAACCCTCTAGTTTAACTCCTCGTGGGAACATGGTATGCCTCAAGACTATTCATTTTCAATGTTTTAAGCTGTGAGGAAGAATGTTTTTTGAGTTKTTGATGAGGAAAAGTATGGTTTTAATGCAGAAGGTTGATCTTAGCAAACTGGATATCCCTACATTACTGCGATATTGACGACCTTTTAACCTTGTAAGTTCTTTATAGGGATAAGTCTTTTACTACTCTCTTATGTAACTGCTAATTTTGGAAGAGAGTTCTTGTTTTTTACAACACTGTGATCGATCTCTTATTTTGTAAGGTGGATGTTTTTCCTAATACATCAAAGGAGCAACTAATTGACATTGTTCAAAGACACTTCATGTCTCAGGTAACATTACATGTTCTTCAAAAGGGTAAAGAAGCTAACACCTATGTTTCTGAACTTGTCTTGTCTCTGGTTCACAGCAAATGGATGAGTTTCAGGTGATTGTAGGATTCGTTCAACCTGCAAAAGGAATGAAGAAAGCTCTATAAGTGATAAGCATAGATTACCACTAGATTGCTATGGTGAGTGACAATGTGTTTGAATTAAGTTGCGTTAGAAGCTATCTCTGATAAGATTAAAAGTATTTATCATCTGCTCCTTTGTCTATTGTAATAGGATTTAGCTACTTCCGCATGTCTTTTATTTATGTATAGAAGAAACTGAACTAAGTTACAATAACTGAACAAAACGTTTGTGAGATGTTGTAATCTTCAAGGTAAGTTGATGAATTCAGGTTTTGTAGGTTAGTCATTCTGATTTTCTTGTAGATGTAAACAAGTCACTGCTTTGAATTAAAAGACTTGAATAAGTTTCTGATTTTCTTGTAGACGTAAACAAGTCTCTGATTTTCTTGTAGACTTCAAAACCTTGTAGTACGTAAACAAGTCTATATGCTTTGAATATTTTTGTTGTTTGGTTCATTATGATTTTGTTGTTTGGTTCATTATGATTTGGTTGTATGGTTCATTGAATATATTTGTTGGTTGATCACTGAATTTATATATTAAAAAAAATTATTTTTTTATTCTTTAGAATTCTTAATGAGTATCACC